ATGAGCTGTGTGTGTCCTGGTGCTTTGGCCAGCTGAGGCCATGTCTGTGCCAGTCTTGAAGCCAGTCTCAGCCTGGGCTTCCCCAGTTACAAGGTTCTTGTTTCTCCAAACATTTCTCCTTCTGACCCAAGGTTATCCTCACTCAAGAGGACCTTCATTATCTTTTCAGAGATTGGGTGTTCTATGGTCCAGTAGCCTTAGTATTTCACTTTTTTTAGTATTTCATTTTTATAGTAAGAAAGGATTTCTTGATGTATCCAGCATTTTGTATCTTCCAGTGAAACCTCATGTGAGACCTTTAAAACCCCTTGAGAAGATCCTCTCCTGCTGCTCCATGTGTGGCTCTTACAGGTTGGTTGTTCTGCCAGTATCTGATTTTGGAGCTGTCACAGGATCTACACTTTTAGAAAACTGCTTCAAAAATCAGTGTAACTACTGTAATTTCCCCTTGCTGCATGTCCTAATTCCCTTTGGAGCCCACCTCAGGAGATACCAAGGAGATATAATATATCTTAATGCCTACAAAGACGTCACTTACTGGTCTGTCTGAGAGTGCAACAGGAAGAGAGAAACCGAGATGGGGACTGTGATCTCACAGTGTGGAGATGCAAGGTTGGGACTCTTAAGGCATGAGAAAATCTCAGCCTGCCATCTCAGGCAGGACTTCAGCTGGCACAAAACCACAGGGGGAGAGCTCCTGCCTGGGAGAAGGACTCAAGGACGTTACAGGTGCCCAGCAGCAGTGGGGATGCAGAAACAGGGGAGTGAGGTGACCCCCTTCTATAGCCCCCCTGATGGTAGGCCCTACCACCTTGCACTCCATGGGCACCTTGAGGCTTTTCCCAGCATGGAAAACCTTCCTTCACATCAGGCCTGTTGTCTAGAAAAGTACCTTTTCACTGGGAAATTAGGTCCTGGTGGTTTTGTTTGGTTTTTTTATTGTTGTTTTTATTTTGGTTTGGTTTTAACTGGCTTACTAAGTTGCTGTTACCTTTTTTCCTTCCATAGTACTACACAGTGTACAACCTGGGAAAAACAGCTACACAGGCAGCAGCTCATGAAGTAACACAGGGTGTTGTAAGAGCTGGAACCCCACCAGCAGCATGCAAGTCAGGCAATTACAGACTCATTTAAGGCATGACAGGTCTGAGTCTGGTTTCATATTCCAGGAAAGAAAAGCACAAAAGTATCCTTAGTTCTTCTGGTCTCCCTTCTCATTTTTCACCAGTTTCAGGATTTATTGCATTTATCTCAGAACCGTGGGGCTCTGTAAACACCTGTGAGCAAGCTCTCAAGCAGGTGGCTTCTCCCACCCCAGCATGTGTGGTGATGGGGAAGGTGCCACCAATGGCAGGTCACTGTGACCACAGCATGGACAGAGGAGCAGGTCCATGTCCCGTGCTGCTGACATGGGGGGTTTTCCCTCTGGGTCAGTCAGGGCCAGACCCAGCACCAAGTGCAGCCAGTGCCCCAGACAAGGGCTGTGGGGCAGGAGGATGTGTGGCTGCTGCCAGGCCAGGCAGTGTTTTAAACTCCCATTAGCAGGTCCCTGGAGAGGATTAGATCCTAATTACTGTCTATGGTTAATGATGTTGATATTAGCCCTGAAAAGAATTCACGAGGCACAGACCTGTGAAGTCTCTGTGGGCACAAATTGTAATTGTCATCCCTCTTCTCTGAGGCCTGGGGCTGAGCCCCCGTGGTGTCACCCACCCCCACCACTGCACCTCTTTCTTCAGTGACACACCAGGCACCCACCACCTCCAAATCAAGGCTGTTACTGATTGAGCTCCGTGGTCAGGGGTCTGCAGAGATCCATCAGAGCCACGGGTACCACCGTGCCAGAACGTGCTGTGCCTCTAATGCTGCTGGTCCCAGCCCTGCTGCACCTGACCCAGCATCAGCTCCACCTCCTGCCACCCTCAAACCCCTCATCCTGCAGCCTGGTGTTGCTTTGCTTCATTTGTCTGGGAATGCTAACAAGGTGATGCCCTCATTAAGGGGTGCATCCAGGGCTTGCCACCCACCTCTGGGCTAGGGAAACCATGGGCAGGGTCACCCCAAAATCACCTGCGTGGGGCTGCTTTCTTGGGAAGGGACCGTGTGCTGGTCTGGCAGGAAACCTGGGCTGGGGTTTGAATGGAGCAAGGCAGAAAGAGATGGTCTGGCAGCTCCAAGGCAGCCAGCAGCACAGGGCCGTGCACTGCCAGGGGGAAGGATGCCATCATGTGGCCAAGCCTTTCATTCCTTTCCCTCTTGCTTTGCATATTTTTACACTAAAAGCTTCTGCCAACTGGTGCCTTTCCATACCAGGCAGTCCACAGCTCTCCCTGACAGTTCCTTCTGTCAGCTGTGTCTTACACAAGGGTTTTTTTCCCAATAAATCCAAGGCATCCATCTCCTAACTGGTTTAATTGGATGAAGAATATCAGGGAAAATCAGCATGTGACTCCAACGTAGGTTTCAGGGCTTCACATCCAGGGGAACACTGAGCAGACCAAACCTGGGCACCATGAGGGCAGGATCATTGAGTTACACAACACATTGTGAACCTCATTAGTTTAATTAATTCATGGGCCATTCTCCCTAATGCAGGCAGATAAGCAACACCATTTATTTGCACTGAAAAACCAGTCTCCCCACATATTGACTTCATCCTGGCTCAAATCAGGACACTGGAGACTCATGATATTCTGCATCTAGAGATCAGGTTTTATGTAGATGCATGGAGAGTATAAATCCCTAAAAGCAGCCAGCAACAAATACTTGTCTGAAGGTTCAATTGTATCCATATTGTTTATCAAAACCAGTTCCCTGGTTCTTGCCAAGCTGAAAAGCACCATGAGCCTCCTCGCCTGCAAGTCCTGAGATGCAGCAACACCAGATCTCCCTCCCACTTTTTCAGGCTGGTTTTGGGGGAAGTCACACTTCTGGTTTTTATTTGGGCCCCAGAAAAGATGAGTCCAAGGTTGGGGGCTCCATTTCTGAGTGCTGCTCCACACATGTTTTTAGGCACTTTGTGGTGATGTCTTCAGGTCTTTTCAGCAATTTCTCCATTCACCCAGGGAAGAGGATGTAGGAGTTTCTCTTTCCTTCTCCACCTTTTTTGGAGGAAAGCTGGACAGCTGCTCCAGATTGTCTTCAGAAACCTTTAGTGAGGGCATCTGCTGAAACTGCCATCCCTGGCAGTTTCCCCAGAGCTCTTCTCCAGAGGAAGATGGGAGGAACTGCACATTTCCCAGAGGAAGATGTCCCAGATTCTTCCCCCTGCCATGTGTCACTCTGTGTGTGAAGCCATCACTCCTCAGCCTCTCCTGTCAAGTCTCTGCAGGCATAAACTGTAGTTGCCATCCCTCATCTGTGAGACCTGGGGCTGACCCCCCAGGGTGTGATTCACACCCATCACATTGACCTTTGGGGTGGTCTTTGCTCTTTTCTGGTCTGCCCCAGTTGTCCCAGTGGAATTGTAACTGGAGGTATGAAGATGGCCCATGTATTTTAGAGAACAGTTTGGGATAAACTCTGCATCCCTTAAAAGGTTTTCCTTTGGTGGTGGTTTCTCAAGCTTCCAAGTGATGTCTGCAGGGTCTGGCAGTGGGCAAGCTGGACTGGCAGGTCAGGGAAATCAGCAGGTCTGACCTAGCAGGTCCCTGGAGAGTTACACAAGATGAGTTAGATAAATTAACTGGCAGCCATCTATAGGAAATGTGGACCTGTTTGGTTTTTTTCTGGAGAAAGAGATCAGCTTCCTCTCTGAATGTAACATCCTTCTATTTCCCAATTGAATTTACACTTTGGATAAGAAACTGAAGTCACTGAAGCCCTTCACATCATTTCCTTATAGTCTTGCCCAGCTTGGGGCAAACTGGAGAGTTCTGTGCTGTAAAACTTGAGAATCCATTTGTATGGGTGGAGTCATCAAACTCTGCTCCTGGAAGCAGGCACAGCTGGGTGGGAATCCAGACCTTCCCACCTGAGAAGCACCTTCACACCCACCACCCCCGTGTGGGTAAGGGGAATAAATTGTTCTCTCAGCTCAATCTGAAAAATGTCATTGGTGAAATAGTCTAACACCAGCATGGGAACTACTGAGGTGCTCTTAGATGGTGGAGTGAAATAGCAAAATGGTCTTTGGATTTGATTGAACTGGTGCAGTTGTCAGAGTCCTCCAGGGACTGAGTCCGTGGCAGAAGAGAAAGCAGATGCTGTTGGTGCAGGACAGGAGTCTTTGGTCAGAGCAGCTCAGCCCTCACCAACACCACACTGCTGGTTTGGCTCAGGAGAGTAGGAGACTTTCAGGTCCTCTGGGGAACACTTTTGAAATAAGAAAGAAGGAGGTTTATAACGTACTGCAGAAAACAGCAAAGACATCCCAGGATAATCTTGAATATTAACTGCTAAAAAAGGTTCTGCAATTGGATATTTTTACTGCTGCTCCTTTATGCAACCTTAGGTTTGTGAGGGAAA